AATCAGAAGAAACTTCCAGCTTTTCCTGTATTAAGCTTGTATACATAAAGCGTTATTAATATAAATATTTCAGAAATGGTATACTTTGTGGGAAGGCCACTAGTGCCCTCACTGCTTATTATATTTTTTACCCTCAGAGGAAACATTGATCAAATCCTTACAAAATAGTTATGCACCGTAGCTGAAAAAAATAACTTTACTCCCTTCCATTCTGATATAACTGACTTCTGTAATAAATTAACAACTTCCATTCAGGTTTTGTCATCTACAGGTAGGGTCTGTTCTCTGATGCTCGCCTAGAGGCTCAACTATAAGCTACAAGCCAGAATTTGTGTTATTAATAAAGAATGATAGCCTCAGAGTCTCACAAAAAGGGTTTACAAGATACAATGAATATATGCTTTTTCAAAGAATAGATGTTTGGGTACAGGTTTCCAAACTGATATTAGGCAAATTTCTAAATGTGCTGAGTAAACTGAATCAAGATTCCCAGGAACATTTTCAGTCTAGAATCAGGTGGATTCCATGCTACTGACTGCTGACCTAGACTCAGTAGAGCAAGAGTTAATTATGTAGAGTTGAATGAATTGATAAGGTTATTTGTCTGATTCGTTGCTATTATTTTTAATGTTCTATTTCTTATGGATATATAAAAAAATCCTTTCTCTTTTCAAGTTATCTCTAACATCAATTAAGAAGATTCTGTTTTTGTAAATTAAAATGAAATATTTTAGACTTGTATCTGATTCTTATGAATTCACCAGCCTTCAGAAACTCAAATTAGTCTCCATACTTTTCACAGCAACATAGTTATTAGCATATATTCAATAGAATCTGTTTTCTTTTTAACCAAGATATATTTGGTCAAACTGATTATATAGCTAATATCATATTTGAGAATTAATATATTTTAATTAGGCATGATCAACTAAGGGTTGACTGTGCTTAAAAGCCAGTCTCTACAAAGCCTTTCCAGGAAAACTGACCTGGTATTTGACTTGCAAGATTCTGACCTTACAGATGGTAAAGAAAATCACTCCCTAGTCAGTGGGAACCTTAGTGAATTTGGGGGCCTTGATAAAAGGGTTCGGCCAAATTTACAGGTACTGCAGGTAAAATAGGAAAGAGAAAATTGCTTGGGCTTGCTTTTCCAGTCTCAGTAAAGTAAATAACAGTGGATTTTAAAAGTCTAATTTGAGATTCCTAAAAACTTCCAGACAAAAGTTAATTCTTTGACCTTAGAAATTGTTCAATACAAACTCAAGGAAGTCTATAATGGTTAATATTCTTGTTATACTTATGTAAACAAAAAGTCTTTTTTGTGATCAAGAATAATCTCTGAAGATTATTTAAGGTCACAAAAGGGGATATTGTCAGAAAAAAGACATCTAAGATTTGCAAAAGGGATTACTTCATGCCCTCTCTGTGCTGTGCTGGATGTTGTCTGACAGATCCTCTGAGGATTTTCTGATTTTATAGTAGTGTACGTCTTTGATTGTCTATGAACTAAGGCATTTTACAACTCTGCAGGTGTAGCTGTTAAGTTATAAAACACAGATAGCAATGCAAATGAATCTTATCCATAGTAATGCAAATGATTCCTAGTTATCATTATGCAAATAAAATTTGTTCAGTAGAGAATGTAAATTTTTAAAAGTCAAGTTCTTGTTTGAATCAGTCCTAACAAATTACTGGTTCCTTAATTAATTGATGAGCTCAGTGAAATCTTTGATGTGTGTTCATCTCATAACCATAATGGGACAGATTCATAAGTTCATCTGCATTAAATTAGAACTTCTGTTCATCAAAAGTCATCAATCTATTCTATTGTTCTGTTTTATTCATCAAAAGAGAATGAAAAGAATATTCTTCCGCAGTGAAAATAATTAACATAGATAAATGTCAATTGTTGGGCAATTATGGCAAGTTACAGAAGAATATGTATTATATAATTCAATTCAAAATTTATTAAAATAAATATATTGTTTAAGAACCTTATGTATTTTTTTCAAAAATATTAATAAAAGCAATTTAAAAACTTAAATTCTGAAAATAAACCCTGGAATGTTAGCAGTAGTTATCTCTAGGTCTAAGATAATGGTCGATTTTCATTTTATTCTTTTTGCTTATCTCTGTTTTATAAAATTTTAAAAATAAACATGTACTACTTTTGCATAAATAAAATAACTCATAGAAGAGATTTTCAATGCATGTCATAGACAAAAAAGTTAATGCCGGAAATATATCACAAACTACAAATCAAGAAAAGGCAAATATTTCATATTCATTGAACACTTGCTATTTGTCACTCACTATAATAAGTGCTTTACATGTATCATCTCATTTAATCCTTTTGACATCCTTCTAAGGTATATATTCTTTTCTTTTCATTTACAGATGAGGAAACTGAGACTTGGTGAGCTTAGGTAATGTAACTGCAAAACTAGCTTGATCTGGATCAACTTTGTGTAATAAAATGGTGAGTTGTTTTTCAGTTGCCATGGATGGATCCCCACATAATCTAGCATGCCCAGATGAACAAAGTGTGCAACCACGGATAGAACTTAAATACTTAGACTGAGGAGCAGGGCCTTAATTAAGAAGTAGACATGGCATGCAATAGGCTCATGTAACAAACATGCATTTGTACTCCCTGAATCTAAAAAAAAAAAAAAAAAGTGGATGTGACGTGGCAGGAGTCAGGATCCAATCAGATAGAGCCCTGGCATTACACCATGACAGGATCCCATCAGATCATGTCTCCTGGCCTCACTGCAAGAGCCAATCAGATCACATCTCATTATCCTATGCCGTGTTTCCTCTTGTCTCATTGCCTGTCAATTTGCAATAAAGCTTTTCTTTTCTTAAAAGCCAGTGCTATTGTACTGACTTCTGTGTACATTAGGAGGTGAGCCCCTTAGCTCAGAAACATTAACTTGCTCATCTACACTGAGTTAATAACAAACGGGTAGAGCTGAAATTGAAACCCTACATTGTGACTCTAGAGCCTACTACACTACACAATACTACCAACACTCTCATGAAAAAGTGTTAAACTCACCAGTAAGCAAGGAATTGTAAATGAAACAAAAAATGTTACCACTTTTCACCTATGAGATAAATGGAAACATTAGAACATTTGAGATAGACAAACAATGTCAAGTGTTGGTGAGAATGAGAGGTGAAGACTGGTATACCTATTTGGAAAAATAAGTTGGGATTATCTAGTAAATTTGAAATTTCTTTGATTCTACAATCTATAAAGTCTACCTCCACATAAATTCTAGAAAAAATACTTGTATATGGAAAAATGTTGAAAGACATTTGTTGTAGAATTGTTTAAATAGTGAAAAATTGGAAATAAGCAAATATTCAACAATAGGGGATTAGATAAATGAAATGTGGTATACTCAGATGTTTGTTAAAAAGAATGAACGAAGCCTATATATAATTATCAAATGGATGATGTCAGAAACATAATATTGATTTTAAAATTCTTCGGAGGTATACTGATATCATGCTACCGTTTCAAAAAATTTAAGCTGGGCTCGGTGGCTCAGCCTGTAATCCCGCGCCTTTGGGAGGCTGAGGTGAGTGGATTGCCTGAGCCCGCGGGTTCAAGACCCGCCTGGGCAGCGAGACCTCATCTCTACAATAAGTCAAAAAATCAGCAGGGCATGGTAGCGCATGCCTGTAATTCTGGCTACTTGGAAGCCTGAGGCGGAAGGATCGCCGGAGCCCAGCAGGTCGAGGCTGCGGTGGCCAGGAGCAGCCACTGCACTCCAGTCTGGGTGACAGAGTGAGACTCCAACTCAAAGAAAAAAAAAATTTAAACACATAAAAGAACAATTCTATGTATTGCTCATAGATACAGTAGTGATTGATTCAAGGTAGTTGGAAATATTTAAAGGGCACCTCAACTTTATCAGTTATTATTCAGTCCTTTTTTTTAAAAAAGAAAAAGGCCATACTAAATATGGCAAGATATTAACAAGTTTTTCTTCTAAGTGGTGGAAAGTAAAGTCCTGTTACATTATTTACTATAATTTCTGTCTTTGTATGTCTAACTTTTTACCTCTGCCTATCTATTTATCTATTCATCTGTTTATAGATATATACATATAGATATATAGATATGCAGATATAGATGTGCATGACACGCTACCATGCCCAGCTAATTTTTTAATTTATTTATTGTAGAGATTAGGTCTCGCCTGCCCAGGCGGGTTTCGAACCCGCAGGCTCAGGCAATCCACTCACCTCAGCCTCCCAGAGGCACGGGATTACAGGCTGAGCCACTGAGCCTGGCTGACACACATATTTTTAAATGAAATATACACACAGGTTGAGCATCCCTAATCTAAAAATCCAAAATCTGAAATGTTCCAAAATCTGAAACTTTTTGAGCACTGACATGAAGCTCAAAGTAGATGATTATTGGAGCATTTTGGATTTTGAGTTTTCAGATTAGGGGTGTGAACCAGTAAATATAATGTAAATATTCCCAAATCCAAAAAACATTAAAATCTGAAATACTTCTGGGCCCAAGCATATTTGGATAAGGAATCCTTAACCTATATTTGTTTTCTAAGAATAAAAGTGAGATTTAAACTGTAAATTTTAAGCTGACCAGGTAAGAGTCAGTTTCACCAGACCTAGTGCAAAATGCAATATAAAATATTACTTGTAAGTGCTTGTCAGACAGTAATGCAAGACTGTGTCCCTGCATAATCTGCCTACTCTCTACATCGTTTTCGCCCCAAATTCCTTTACACTGCAGAAGAGCATGTATGCATGTTACACATTTGGCTGTGATCATGTTGAACTGACATAAACTTTCAGGGATAAGGAGGGAACCCAGGAAAAGCAATGGTCATAAACCACAAGGACATAGTCTTTGAAAAAAAAATCCTTGCCTTCAATACTCAACTGACTCTTTGGGTGATGACAGCTGAAATACAATTATGATACCAAATGAGACCCATCCAGTCTCCCCATGACTATGGACAACTCTGAAACATTCTGGGTAATTGAGCTATCCCTCTGTCTCTAAGCACTTTCAGAAAGGCCTCCTTTACATCCTTGTTCCTGAGGCTATAGATAATGGGATTGAGAAAGGCAGAGACAACATTGTAGAACAATGCCAGCTTCTTGTCCCTCTCTGGGTCATACCAGGAGCCAGGCCTCATGTACATGATCATGGCTGGCCCATAGAACATGGTGACCACAGTGACATGGGACGCACATGTGGAGAAGGACTTGAGTCTCCCCTGGGATGTGTGGATTCTGAAGATGAGGCAAAGATGCGAACATAAGAGGCCAGGATGAGGGAGAGTGGGACCAAAAGCAGGATGAAACCCAAGATGAAGTCCAACTGATCCTTGAGGGATGTGTCTGCACAGGCCAACCTCAGGACGGCAGGGACTTCACAGAAGAAGTGGTTTATCTTGTGGGGGCCACAATAAGGCAGACGCATGGTAAAGATGGTGTAGATCAGGGCCCCAGCTACACTAATGGACCAACAGGCTGAGACCATCTTGATACAAATGGGACGACTCATGAGTAGGGTATAGTGAAGGGGAAAGCAAATGGCAACGTACCTGTCATAGGCCATGATGGCATAGAGGACACACTCAGCAATGCCCAGGAACAAGAAGATGAACATCTGGGCTACACAAGCTCCCCAGGAGATGGTCCTTCTCGGGCACACCATATTAATCAACATCTGGGGCACAGTGGTGGTGACATAGCTCATGTCCACCAAGGAGAGGATACTAAGAAAGAAGTACATGGGTGTGTGGAGGTGTGAGTTCAGGTAGATCAAGATGATGATGAGTCCATTGCCCAGAAGAGTGATGAGGTAGAGAAGGAGGAAGAAGGTGAACAGGGCCATTCTGACCTGTGGCTCACTGGAGAAGCCAAGGAGAATGAACTCGGACACAGAGCTGTGGTTTTCCTTGCCAAGGCTCTGCATGGTGATCTGCCTAGAAGGAGAGACAGTGATTTCTCTGTTCTGTTCTTGGCCTCAGGGAAAAGAGGATAGGACTGACAGAAGCTGAGACACACACACACAGCACCATGCACAGTAACTTTCATAGATTAGGTCAAACGTTTGTTGAATTAGATGAAAAGGGCAAGGAAACTAGGGCAGCTATAGTGCCAGGTAACAGGTCAGAAGATATGGATACATGCCTATCATGCAGCATAGAATGCCTGACAGCCCAAAAGGACTTTTCTGGAAACTACCATTACTGATAGAAGACAAGGCATTAGATAGCTGTGTGTGTAGCAGGGAACCTGGCCAAGCTTCAGCCACTGCCAAATTCTACCAGGGGTGTACACTTGTCCCAATCCGGAGTGATTAGATGCCTCTGCTGAGAGTTTAAAGTTTCACCATTGAAAATCTTTGTCAGTGGGCTGTGGGTGCTCATCGAACCATCAATCCAGAGCTGGTATGGTGGCAACCCAAAGTCACATGGGAGCCGAAGCTGTAGGGAAAAAGAAAAGTGGAGGTCTTAATTGATAATAAAAGATGTGCTGAGAAGCAGAGGGGAGAGACTTCATAGGCCTGAGCGCCCGAGAAAGGGACCCTGGATCCTGGCTTGCTACTCCCAGTTCCCCTGAGACCTATCTGGGCTTTGTTTTCTGTACTTGGATTTAAGTGGGATTTTCTGTTAACCCCTTACAATGACCATCCCATGACCACATTTTAAACTCTGCTCTTTGAGTGTCTCATGGTTGTCACTTACCTAGCTGTGTGACCTTTGGCAAGTCCCTTTATCTCCATTGACTGCAGTCTGTCCATCATTTTGCAAAATATAAAATACTAGGCAAACAAAAATGGTTAGTATAAGTGGAGCAAGCCTGGAAAATCAGAACAGCTGGGGTCTAGTCCTGGCTCTGCTTCTGATTTTCTCTGTGATCTTGGGTAACTCCATATCCCTCTGAGCTTCACAGTCCCATTTTTAAAATGAGGCTGTTGGCATTAAAAAGAACAAAATAATGTCCTTTGCAGCAACATGGATGCAGCTGGAATCCTTCATTCTAAGCGAATCATCACAGAAACAAAAAACTGAGTATTGCATGTTCTCATTTATAAGTGGAAGATAAACACTGGGCATACACAGGTATAAGGAAGGAAACAACAGACGTCAAAGACTCCTAAAGTGGGGAGGAAGGGGGTAAGTTGAAAAACCACCCACTGTGTCCCATGCTCACCACCTGCATGACAGGCTCAATAGAAGCACAAATCTCAGTGTCACACAATATACCTATGTAACAAACTTGCACACATACTCCCTTGAATCTAAAATAAAATAATTCTTATATATATATATATATATAAGAATTATATAAAATGAAATAATTCATATATACTTTAAAAATAAGAAAAGAAAATGAGGCTGATGGATGCCATGATCCTAGAGGGTCCTCCCAGCTCTGATGTCTTTTGGTACTAGGAATACCAGGTGGAGACCTGTGATTGTATCCGTGCCCGAGCACTATGGAGAGGACTGAGCTGAGCAGTCAGCTGAGTGTGATTGTGCTGGCAGGAGATCTGGGAGCTACAGACTTGTTCAGAGCATAGGAGAATACATAGAGCATAGATGTAGGCATCAACACCCCTGAGTCTGGTAGTCTCTTCACCTACTCTCAAGTCTCTTAGCCTCTCAGAGTCTCAGGTTCTTCGTGTGCAAAATAAGGGGAATATCTCCTTCATAATAGAGACTGCATGAAACATACCTGGCTTGCAGAGAATGCTCAACAAATGGAAGCAATTTAGATCATGGGAAGTTGAGCAGAAGTAGTGGAGAGAGGGGAGAGCAGGTGCAGTGCATTCTCGAGTGTCTGAGCTTCCAGAGGACAGGGCTGAAACATGATTGTGTGAACTGATGGTCATAAGTGATGGTAGAGGTGGGGTGGGGGTGGGGGATGGAAAAGCTGTGTGAAGCTCAATAGGCAAAGGTAGATGGTGTTAGATATGGGTTCTATACTTTAAGGAACACCAATAATTGGATGAAGGAGGAAAATATCCAAGATGATAAATATTGATGAAAGTGAGTGGAGACCTTGGACAGCTCAGAGTCTTAGGCATTGGGAGGGGAAACTTTCAAGGGATAAGGAGTGGCCAGCAGTGAAGATGGCAAACCTTAGTGCCAGGATGACATGGGTTGAGAATGAGAAGCTGCCCACATCCTCCTTTCCTCCAATCTCCACCACAGGCCAGGACTCTTGCCTAGCCTCCAACTGGCCGCCCTTACCACCCACCAGCAGATACTGTTTCAGCTACCATGCCTCTTCTAACATCTCCTTAGACTGGAATTCAAGGCCTTTCCCGATCTGGCTCTAACCAATTTTCAAGTCTGTGTGATTTCCAGTTGTGTCACTGAGACTTTCTGAGCCATGATGCTAACACATGACCACCAAAGGGATCCTAGTTTGGGCAGCTGGGGTCCCCCATCTCAGAGCCCCAGATCTTCTAAGCTAGGTGGCTTTTCAGTGCCTGCCGTGTATGCCACCAGCCTTTGCTCTAGCTAGTTCTCTGCCAGGAATGCCTTTCCTAATCCCTTCTGCTTCCTCAGCTCCCAGCCTTCAAGGCCCAGCTCAGGGTTTCTTCCTCCTTATCTGGCTGGTCCAGCTTTGTGTATGTTATGTGTATATTGTGTTTCCCACCAGGCTGGAGGCAGAGGCTGTGTCTCTCTTAGATCTCTTCATAGTACCTAGCATAAGGATGACACATGTCGAAGGCTTCACACAACCTTGGGCTATGGTGCTTAGAACAAGTTACATAAGCATCCACCCAGCCAAGCTATAGTAGGGACCAGCAGGCTGCTTTTGAGCCCTGTTCCAGCACTCGCTTTCTTTGCTTTAGACCAGAATTTGTTCTACCTTCTGCCAAGGTAATAAGTGACTCGACAAGGACTAAAACCTGGGTCTCTGGCGGCATAGCCTACCAAGCTCTTAACCACTGTACTCTACTACCATCCGGAAAACTCCATATTCATATCCTGCTTCTTTCTCCACCTGCCAATGTTTCCTGGCTCCTTCCCAGCCTCCAAACTTCTGGTAGAGAATAAGGAAGAGGTCACCTTGTTAGGACTCCCACTAGGAAGCCCCAGGACACATTCTAGCTGCAGGGATGAGAGGTGGCTCTTGAGAGGCATGTGTGAAAGTCTGGAAATGGCTATGAAAGTGAGCTGGAGACTGACTCCTGCTTAGTAAGGGCAGGTTCTCCCTCCTCTCCTCCCCAGTGAGTGGGGCAGTAAAGACTCGGGTGATGCTCCTTTGTCCATTCTTGGGGATGCCCAGAAAAGCAAATTCCCCAGCTCCCCATCAGTCACCTACAGATGACCAGGTTGTTCTTCCACTTGAGTAGACGTCATGCCTGTGGCAGCATCAGCCTGTTTTCTTCTTGGTTACACATGGTGCAGTAGAAAGCAGATCATCCTTCTCTTCCCAGCACTGTGGCTCTACAGGAGACATCTGTGCCTCTCTCAAGTGTAAGGAACCCAAAGCATCCCTGAAGAGAGGTGCTTTCAGATTCTTCTTTATATCAGAACAGGGTTGGAGAATGGATTTCCAGTCCCTGAAAAGCCCTGGGGATTCCCTGTCCTTGCTGATAAATGCAGCACAGAACCCTTGAGCAGAATGAAAGACACAGCCAGAAAGTTTAATGCCCTCAGGAGATTTCGGGCTTGGTGCTGGTAGACTGGGTATCTTTCTGAAGTTTCCACTGAGGACTGAAATTTCTTCCCACTGAGACTTAGAGGAGGGAGGGGTTCTATGACTGAGTGGCCACATCCCTGCTTGACACAGTGATAATACTAATAAGATGTGCTTTTCTTCCTTCCCAAACACTTTTGTGTGTCTTTTACACCGCCAGGCATCTTATCCAAGGCCACACACCTAATAGAGGTAAAACTAAGGTTTGGATATAGATACAATAATCTCCTCTTATCCATGGAGGATACGTTCCGAGATCTCCGGTAGATGCCTGAAACTGCAGAGAGTTCCAAACTTCACATGCACTGTGTTTTTTCCTATACACACATAACTATGATAAAGTTTAATTTATAAATTAGGTGCAATAAGAGATTAACAGCAATAACTAATAATAAAATAGAACAATTATAACAATGCACTATAATAAAATTTATATGAATGCGGTCTCTCTCAAAATATCTTATTGTACCCCACTTACCCTTGTTGTGATGATATGAGATGGTAAAATGCCTATGTAATGAGAGGTGAATGATGTGAGCATTATAACATAGTGTGAGGCTTCTATTGACCTTGAATACAAGCATGGCCATATTGCCACAGTCAATCTGATAACCAAGACAGCTACTAGGTGATGAACAGTCAGGTAGTATAAACAGTGTGGATATGCTGGACAAAGGGATGACTCATGTCCCAGGCAGGATAGAGCAGAATGGTATAAGATTTCATTGTGCTTCTCAGAACAGCATGCAATTTAAAACTTATGAATTGTTTATTTCTGGAATTTTTCATTTAATATTTTCAGGCTGTGGTTGACTATGGATAACTGAAGCTGTGGATAGGGGAACTACTGTAGTTTAAATGCTACCTATACTTATTAGTGTCCTTGTAACAACCATTTATTGAAGACCTACTGCTTTCCTCAGATCATGCACCTCTTTGTGGTATAAATGCTACCAAACCTATTACTGTAACAATAACTACCAGCCGGGCTTGGTGGCTCAGCCTGTAATCCTGCGCTTTGGGAGGCTGAGGTGAGTGAATTGCCTGAGCCCGCGGGTTCGAGACCTGCCTGGGCAACTTGGCGAGACCTCATCTCTACAGTAAATCAAAAAATTAGCCAGGTGTGGTAGCGCGCGCCTGTAGTTCTACTTGGAAGGCTGAGGCGGAAGGATCGCTGGAGCCCAGCAGGTCGAGGCTGCAGTGGCCGAGAGCGGCCACTGCACTCCAGTCTGGATAACAGAGTGAGACTCC